CGCTTCCTGTCTTCTGAAGGATAGAGCGAGGGATTGGTGGGAGGAGATTGGTCACGCTTTGGGTGATGATGCCGCGTTGGACGCGATGACTTGGAGTGATTTCTCAGCGAGGTTTAGAGCGGAGTTTTCGCCGATTATTGAGGTGTAGCAGTTGGCCCGGGAGTTTCAGGATTTGACGCAAACTACTGAGACTGTGGTGGAGATCACCGCCAAGTTCAGAGAGAGAGCCCTTCTTGTTCCGCAGTATGTCGCGGATGAGGAGATGAAGAAGGCACGATATCACGAGATGCTGAGGGATGACATCAGGGAGTTCGTGAGCAGGTCCGGTTGTAAGACGCTGGAAGATATGATTTCTCGGGCCAGGGAGAGGGAAATTGATTTGGAGCAGATCCGAAAGAGGAAGTCGGATGAGGTTCAGGTAACTGCGAGTTCGGGCAAAAGGCCCAAGGGATCAGAGTCGAGATCGAGGGATTATCAGGACCGCAGTCGATGCGGAAGGTGTGGCAGGACGCACGGGGGCGCGTGCAGGAGTGGTAGTGGTGGTGAGTCTGGCTGTTTTAGGTGCGGTCGGACTGGTCATTTTAGCAGAGATTGTACTGCTACCATCACTCAGGGATCAGACTTGATATGTTTTCACTGCAATCAGCAGGGCCACAAGAAGGCCCAGTGCCCCAGTTTGCTTTCAGCAGGACGAGTGATGGCACCTGCCCCTGCAACTTTGAGGATCACAGACGGACGTCAGGGCCATGCGGAGGCGCCTGCGGTAGGAGGTAGGGCTTTTCAGATGGCTACTTTGGAGATGCGAGCAGCGCCAGACATTGCAGGTATGTGACTTCCGTTTTCAATTCTTTTATTGTGTGCATAATTATATTGTTATGGTTCTTCATCATTAGCGGTCGAGCATTTTATTTTCGAGCGGGTTCATTGTGATCGAGTTATATGCCATTTGCATACCTTGGTTATTGGTTAGTAATTAAGGGATGGGTTGTATCGAAGAAGGTTACTTTGAGTGCAGTATCCGTAGCATGCCTTGGAGAGACTCGGTATGTCTCGCTAGTTCGGAGCCGTATAAGTTTTAGAATGGACAGGTTAGATCCTTAGCTATGGTAAGCTTGGGATTCCTCAGCGGATTGATTATGGTAGAAAGGATTGGGATTTCTTCTCATCGATCATCAAGGTGTAGGCAGGATCAAAGTGGGGGAGAATCCTCCGAGTGTATAAGGGTAAGGGCACACGAATCCATATCGGGTATATGATTCTGAGAAGGAAAGAAGGTAGTTCAACGTTTGACGAATCGAGTAGTTCAGGGTTGGGAGTTTGAGAACTTCCCATCAGTGCGTGTGTGTAAAGGGAAATGGTGGGTATGTGGTTCGGATTTAGGTTAAAGGGCCGCATGTAGAGCTCGTGTGAGTCGGAATGGAGATCTTGAGGTCAAATAGCAGGAGATGTTTTCGTGTTAGCAGTCAGTGGTGGAAAGTGATGTAAGACTGCGGGGCGGCCGTAGCATTCACTAGCAGTCAGTGGTGGAGGTGTTGTCAAACTACGGGGCAGCCGTAGCATTTTGTAGTAGCTTCGTTGGCGGAGTCGGGGCGAGGCCCTTATCTCCTAGCATTCAGATAGGGATCGGGAATGGGGAATGGATGAGAATGGTATGGAGTTGCCTGTATAGCCATTGAGAGATGAGACTTTGGAAGAGGCCGCTCTAGGATATAGTCGGGTGAGACCCGTGGGCGAGGCCCGTATGAGGATAGCAGTATAGGTGAGACCTGAGAGTAGGGTGGCTTAGTAGTATGGTTGGGTGAGACCCGTGGGCGAGGCCCGTGAGTTTTAGCAGTACAGGTGGGACCTGGTAAGGATCTTAGTGTCTAGGCAAGGGGATCAGGGATCCCAGGAAATTGTAGTGCCAGCATGGTAGAATAGATTGAGCAGTATAGGTGGCGGAAGTATCTTCGAATGTCGCTGGGAGCTACTAGTGGTTGTGTTGGGTCAGTAATCGGTGAGAGTCGGTAATCCGGATATTGATAGGTTGGTAGGGACCAGGATGGTCACAGTTTATTCAGAAGCCAGATAAGAATAGCAGGATTTCTAGTCAGTAGCAGTGCGGGGAAGCAGAGTATGGTGGAATTCAGTTAGTCGATCGTGGGGTGATCGACACCGAATGATAGTAGGAAGAATGCCCAGTGGGTTCTGGCAACGATGACCCGTACTGGGAGTGGCGGGAGTAATAGATTTATTGAGGAAAGGGTCTTCACCGCGGAAGAAGGGATAGATGGTTATGGAGCATTGCCTTGGGAGAGGCAAGGAAAGCGCGTAAGGAAAGAAAGGGTGAACCCCTACGGGGTCAGTACAGTATTCGGAGATTACCAAAAGATTGTCGGTTGAGTAAGTTGTGTTACAGGATGTTCAGGCTCAGGATGGACCCGAGATTATTATCTGTAAGGATTGGCGTTGGTCTGAATGATTAAACGGAAGGCCAGCAAAGTTAGGCAGCTGGTGCTAGAATGGATGGTGGGGCTTTGGAGGCTGATCGCCGGCAGTAGAGTAAACTTCGAGGACGAAGTTTAGTTTAAGTGGGGGAGAGTTGTAAAACCCAAAGTTTCAAAGGCCAAGAAAGAAAAGAAAAGCTCTAATTTAAGGGTCGACTCAGCGAGTCCAAGGAAGGACTCGACGAGTCCGAGCGGGATCCGAGTTGAGGAATAAGTGACCGACTCGGCGAGTCGGCCAAGGGACTCGACGAGTCTGGTCTGTGCGGGGAAAAACCCTAAAATCGGGACTTAGAGCCTATTTAAACGTCCCATTCTCTCCCCTAGGGTTCCTTTACTGCCCCTTTCACCCAGAACGCCGCACCCTAAGCCCCCATTGTGCTCATTCATGCTTTTGGCCATTTTTGAGTGATTTAAAGGAAGAAGAAGAAGTGGGGATCTTTGAAGCATCAAGGAGTGGCTTGGATCCGAAGTTTGGGGATCATTTCAGAGCATTTGAAGGTATTAAGTCGTTTCTCTCCTCCAGATTTTCCTTGGTTATGAGTTTTGGGGATTTTAAGCCATGTCTGAAATCAATCTCGAGCTTGAGGTCCAGATCTGAGGTTGCTACCTCAGATCCATGCTTGTTTTGGTCTATAATTCCGTAAAGTATCAGCCCTTGAGTGGATCATGGAGTCTTTTTGCCTTAAACCCTAGTTTTTGGCATGTTTTGCTTAGATCTCCTTCTCTACACGTAAAGTTTGCAACTTTACGTGTGGAATAGGCTTGGGAAGGGTAGATCTACAGTTTGGAGTCCATGCATGACTCTAAAATCCTCTGCATGTAAGGAGAACTGAAGGGACTCGGCGAGTAGCATGAAGTTGTGGAGAAACTCGACGAGTGGGATGAACAACTCGTTGAGTCGTATGAAGATTGCCTTGGACTCGGCGAGTCAGGTCGCGAAACCCCAAACCCTTCGAGTTGTGACTCGAATAAGTGAGTCGGGTGGAGACTCAGTGAGTTGGACAGGTCTGGACTCAGAAATCGGTAGACTCGGCGAGTCATGGACTGACTCGGCGAGTCGAGTCATGAATGGAAGGAATCTGAACATTATGAACTCGGTGAGTCAGTAGGGTGACTCGGCGAGTAGGGTTGACCTGGAAGGTTGACCTTGACCAGGATTTTGACTTGGACCAGGGTGGACTTGGTTGTCTTTCGGGGGTCAGTTAGACTCAGTGTTGCATTGATATTGGTAGTTCGGGGAGCAAGAGGAGCAGGAGTTCCGTGAGTTGTCAGGCAGCAGCTAGTGAGATCATCAGCAAATTCAGCCAGTGCAGGTGAGTTTCCCTTTGTGTGAATGGGTCTAAGGCCACAATGCCGGCCCATGTAGTTATGAGTAGAAGACCCGGGGGTTAGCCCTAGGCACAGTATGCTAGTATTATTTTCAAGACGAGGTCCAGTAATAGTGAGCGGGTGCCCAAGGAATTGTTTATATGATAGTTTATACTTGTTGTCTGTGTGATACATGTATGTGCCTGGTAGGGAGGTGAGTGTGGGCGAGGTCCCGTATCTCACCAATAGCAGAGTGTGGATGGGGTTCCATATCTCATTAGTAGCAGAATAGGGGCGAGGCCCGAACTAGAACCGGAGTGAGAGTGGGCTAGGCTCGTACCTCACTACCATTAGATGACTCATCAGTAGCAGGACATGGGCGAGGCCCAGGATAGGCGAGGCCTTAGGACAGAACCAGTTGTATGGGTTAGTTATGTGTTGTGAAATGTTTATGTGTTAATATTTGTTGGCGGGCGAGGCCCTGTGACAGGCGGGGCCTAAGTAAAACAGATTTGTATCCGAGCGGGGCTCGAAGCCAGGTGGAGCCTGGAACGGCGGGGCCGTTGTAACGGGCGAGGCCCGAGGTAGGGGGCGAGGCCCAAGATAGGGGGCGTGGCCCAGTATGTGCAGTATATGGTTATGCATGGTATGTGGTAGGGTGGGGAACTCACTAAGCTTCGTGCTTACGGTTTTCAGTTTTGGTTTCAGGTACTTCCGGTAGCGGAGGGAAGAGCTCGGGGTGATCGCATGACACACACCATAGATTAGACAGCTTGGGAATGTTTACTTTGATAATGAACATGTGTCTTGAAAACTTATACTCATATTATGTTTTGGAATGATGACTTTACTTTAAGTAATGATTTATTAAAAGAAATTTTTGGTCTTAAATTTTGGATCGTTATATATATATATATATTGTATTTTGTTATAGTTAAAATAAAGAAATATTAAAATAAATACCGATAAACATAAAATATTAATGTTTGAAGATGTTAAAAAAAAAAAAAAAAAAAAAAATCCGAAAAAATGTATTTTTTTTGGGCTAGGAGGTTTTTGAAGTTGAAAAAACAGTATTACAAAACTAATGTCTAAATTAGATCCAGCACAAAAAAAAAGCCAAAAAAAAAAATGTTCAGATGAAAAAAAAAAAAAAAAAAAAAAAAACAAATACCATCTTATAAACCTCATAGATAACTTCCGAAATTAGAAAAGAAATTACCAATAGAAACGTTCCTTATGAGACGTATCCAACCGAAATCTTCAACAAGTCGAGTTTTCGAGTAGACATTTGCAGCGACCAAAGTGCCGCCAAACGGAGCCCTCGGAGGCCGGAGCTAAGAAGCAAAAGCAAGTCAATTGCCCCCCACCCTCCCCACTATATATTATACAAGCATCTCTCTTTTGTTAAATTCCCAAATTGCTCTTTCTCAAATCAAATCAAGAATCACTGTTTTTCTTACGGAGCTCTGTCTATGGCGATCTTGTTGTAATGCCAATGTAATTCCAAACCCCTTGTTGGGGTTTATTGGATTCATTTGTGGAATCACTCCGATCTGCTCTGAGAAGTAAAATTCATTCCCCAATTTTTAAATGACGATGAGGGTTTCTTTCAAGGTTTCGAAGAGAGGTTGTCGCCCAAAACCTAAACCTGAAACGCCTACAGTTGGCGATGTCGACGCTCCTCCTGAAATTCCCAAAAACCTGTCAGTTATTGCTGCTACAAAACCATCGGTATGTTGTAATTTTAATTTCCGTTCAATTTCCTTGTTTGTAAAGTATTTAGCTTTCTAATTGTTTCGTAAATAGGTTAAATCTCGTATTCATCTATGCAAACTGACTTGCAGCTCTGTTGTATTAAACTGAAATCTCTCAATCCCAAACTAATTGATTGTAAGAAATCTCAAATCAAATCCGGTGTATGAATTTCTCCAAATCGAAATTATTTTGTAACGAAGTGACAACACTGATTATTTTCTAACAAAATCTGATGATTTTTTGAACTTTGGGGGGAAAAGTATAGAATCAGAGTTGATTTCGTAATGAACGCAGAAGAATTGGGCAACTCCTGAAACATTGTAAATATGTTCTTTAAGACTTTTAAAAAACTCAGTTTATTTGTTCTTTTGGGACAAAATCTAAAGCTTTATAATATAAGCCCATTCATATGGAATGGAGGAAAGGCTGGATTAGGGTTTTATTACTGATCTCAACTGCTATTACTTCAGCTTATTCCATCAAGCTAACTCTTATTAGTTTTTTGCATACTGTAACCATTATACTTGGTCATATGCAACCCAGTATGCTCTTGATCGGTTTATGTTGCCAAATATTAATGTTCAATAATGTATGTTGATATATGTATAGGTTAATGTCACTGAGGATAACAATGAGGATGCTGAAATTTCAGGTATCTTCCTAAATGAACATCTACTTCTATTCTTCAGTTTGCCTGCAATTGCTAACTTTTCATTTTTCTTTTAATGTTTATCAGATTCAGAAATTTCTTTCTTCATAAGCCTCTTCCCAGATGGATATTCCATTGGAAACCCCTCTGAGGTTTGTTCCAAATCATTTCAGCCTTCTGCTTTATTTTTAAAAGACAAGTTTACCCTAGCTAACTCTGTCTTTCTACACTCTAACAGAACCGTATTGGGCATCAAGTCACTGTACAAGATGATCCAAAATTTTTGCACCCATACGATCGCACATCAGAAAGCCTATTCTTGGTTAGTATTAATGTTCATTCTTGTATCCAAATATGTTCAATTGAGTGATCTATGAAGAAGTATTCCTTTAACTAATTGTTTTTTTGCTTTTTTGTATATAAAGGCTATAGAGCGAGGCCTGTTACCTGCAGATTTCTTGGATGATATACCATGCAAGTTTTATAAAGGAGCAGTTGTATGTGAGGTAAGTAAACTGTAAACCACATTAGTTAAAACTTAAAAGTTAAAACTAAAGCTTCAGACATATAGTCATATACCAAATATTAATCTGTATTATACTGTAGGTGCGTGATTACAGGAATTGTGGTTTTGAAGCAGGAGTTAATGGTTCGTCTGCAGACATGTCTCCTTTAACTACAAAACTACGCCTTAAAATGTCATTGGAGAATGTTGTGAAGGACATTCCTTTAATTTCTGATAGTTCTTGGACTTATGGTGATTTAATGGAAGCCGAAGCACGTATACTGAAAGCCCTACAACCAAAGCTGAATCTTGATCCGACTCCTAACCTAGAAAGACTCTGTAAAACTCCAACTTGTGCAAAGGTAAGTGGTATAAAAGTATAATTTATAAAGTCTTGAACATCTTCATTGCTTCTAGAAGGTTCACATACTTTATTGTTTCAGCTGAACTTGAATATACCAGATCTTCGAAGAAAGAGATTGAGACAGATGGCAGGAGCTGTTTCTGGATCTGATAATCAAATCCAAGGAAAGAAGGTTTGCATGGACAGAATCCCAGAAAACTCAAATTCTGGTCAAATGATGCAGCAGCAATCTGATCTTGTGAATCTGAGTAGCCAAAACATGGGTCCAAACAATATGATGACATCAGCATCTCCTTCATTGTCTTATCAATCGAAATGTCAAATTGGTGCTGGAAATCCTATGTTTAGTGCAGCAGGAGCTTCTCCTGGGCAGGAGATGATGAATTCGTATGGGGACAATATGAACCCAAATATGTCTGGGAAGAGGGAAAACCAAGATGGTGGACAGCTGTCCCCTATGGGTAGTTTGAAAAGAGGTAGGTCAAATCCCATGGGTCTTGATGTTAGTCAACAGCAACAGATAACCGGATCACACATGGATGGATTCAATGTACCAGAATCCCAGTGGAAAAATTCACTCATGCAACAACAACAACAACAAGGGAGAGGGATTCAGTTACCTAATACTAATCCTGGAATCCAAAAGTATCCTCAACAAATGTTTGATGGAGGGTTCAATCAGGACCCGTTTACAATGGGTCAGCCCAGAATGAGATACAATCTGAAACAAGAACCGCTTGAGTCTGAAAAACCCAAGTATGAGATGCCACCTCAACAGTTTGCAAGATCAAGTTTCCCACCAACTCCATGGAACAATCTTGGAAATTCACTTGATAATTCAAGAAAGGAAGAAAATTTCCAAAGAAGAAAAACGGTCCAAAGTCCACGTGTTTCCTCCGGAACTTTACCTCAATCTCCTCTGTCATCAAAATCAGGGGAATTTTCAAGTGGGTCTCTGGGTGGCCAGTATGGTGTACCTCCAAGGGAAAAATCAGCAGTTAACTCACTTCCCACAGTGGCAGGATCTTTGACCTCTAATGCTCAAATGGCATCCAGGAGGTCAAACTCCCTCCCTAAAACCCCTGCCATGAGTGGGGTCGCATCTCCTGCTAGTGTTGTGAGTGGGCCCTTTAATGCCTCCAGTCCTCTTGTTGGAAAGGAAGCTGATAAAAGCATGCGTGATCGGTTCTCCAAAATTGAAATGTTGACTCTCAGATATCAACTCAATAACAAAAAGAACAAGGTTGATGAGTACAAAAAGTCAACTGCTTTTCCCACTCAACAACTCAATCATCATTTATTCGATGATCACAACGCTGAGAATCCCAAAGATGAAGCCTTTAAAATGCCTCTGTCTAAATCACTCGTGGGAGGGAGCATGAATGTTTGCAAGACTAGGGTTTTGAACTTTCTCCAGACCGAACGTGTACTTCAAGGTTTGTTTGTTGGAGTTTAATATATGAAAATCTTGACTCATTGTTTTTTGTGTTTACTATTTACCGTTTTGCCCTTCCCTTTCCAGGAAATGGATATTCACTAGTGCCAAAGTCAAGAACCAGATTGATTCTGTCAGAGAAACGAGATGATGGTAGTGTAGCAATGCATTATGGTGAAATGGATGATTGTGATTATTTAGGAGCAGAAGAATGTCTTCCTACTCTTCCAAATACTGTTAGTTTCCTTCTTTTTTTTTTTTGAAACTTTTTTTTTGGTAGTGTTATTATATGTCATATGTTTCTGACTTGTTGTTTGACTTGATGCTACAGCATTTTGCAGACTTGCTTGCATCCCAATTCTGCACGCTGGTATGTGTTTCTAAATAAAATTTACAAATTCTTATTATTTTTTCTTTTCAGGTTTCTTGTATATGAAAGATTTTATACGTGTGTATGCAGATAACACGTGAAGGTTATCAAGTGGAAGGCGATCATTTACAACCAAAACCAACAAACACTGTTCGATCATCCATTGAACAATCTAATAATAATAATAATGCAGCAGTGACAGCAGCATCAGGTGGTGAAATGCAACAAATCCCGGAATCAGGTTCCGTTTCCGGGCAGCTGTCTAATGAAGTTGCAAAAGCATCATCTGATAACGTGTCAATGTCAATGAACCAATCAACACAGAACATGACAGGTGGCAGGATGCACCCTCCTCAAGGTGGAATGTTGCCACAATCGAGACCTCTTCAATCGGAATCACAACCCTCTTTCCAACAACAACAGAATCAGCTAATGCAACAGCAGTTTCAAAGATCATCTGCCATGATGCTTGCATCAAATCCATTATCACATCTAAACGCAATGGGACAGAATTCAAACATGCAACAGTTAGGCCACATGCTTAACAAAGCAACACCACTCCAGATTCAGCTTCTACAGCAACAACAACAACAGCAACAACAGCAACAGCAACAACAACAACAACAGCCTCAGATGCAGCAAAGGAAGCTGATGATGGGACTTGGAAACACCGGAATGGGAACGGGAACAGCTGGAAACAACATGGTGGGGCTTCAAGGGATGGGGAATGTGATGGGTCGTGGCGGGACCCCGCCAATGACAGGGGCGATTTCGGGAATGGGACAAAACCCGATTAATATGAACCAGGCTTCGAGTTTTAGTAATGTGATAAGTCAGCAACTTCGGAATGGAATGATAACGCCGGCTCAGGCTGCTATTATGACAACGAAGCTGAGAATGGCACATAGTAGGAACCTGTTGGGTGCGGGTGGAGGGCAAAATAGTAATATCACTGGATTGCCTGGTGGGAACCGACAGGTCCATCCAGGGTCGAGTAACTACTCGATGCTGGGTCCCACTATGAACCGTGCTGCTAACACCATGAGCCCGATGCAACGAACCGCTATGGCCCCACCAAAGCTGATGTCAGGGATGAATGTCTACATGAATCAACAACAGCAACAGCAACAGCAGCAACAACAACAACAGTTGAATGTTCAACAACAACAGCAGCAACAACAGATGCAGCAAATGCCAGCTCAGCAGCAGCAGCAAGAGTCGACATCACCGTTGCAGGCGGTACTTTCGCCACCTCAGCAGCAAGTGGGGTCACCGGGGATGGGAGTGGGACAGCAGCAACAGGCGAGTCCGCAGCAGATGAGTCAGCGGACTCCGATGAGTCCACAGCTGAGTTCAGGTGGGATCCACCCTCCGATGACAATGAGTGGAGGTGGAGGGGGAGGTGGTCAGGAGGGTAATTGTCCCGCAAGCCCCCAGTTGAGCTCACAGACAATGGGGTCTGTTGGTAGTATCAATAATTCACCAATGGAGATGCAGGCTGTCAACAAGAGTAGCTAACTTTGTTTTTTCAAGTGTTCACGTTAATTAGGTTCATGTTAAATTAGTGTTGTGCTGTAATTGGATGGATGGGTATATATTATATATATTAATTATATTTATATAATGGAGAATTATTTTGGGAATATGACTCAACCTGGTATTATTTTTTTTTTCTTTGGATAATTCAAGATCTTATGTTTATGTAAGAGAGTTCCATAAGATGACCATTTAGGATTATTACTAGCTTAATTAATTTTTCTACTAGTAGATATGAATGGTAAACCATAAAGAAATTATTCAAAAAAAATGTTTTTTGAGAGTAATATAGTCGTTTTGCACAGTTAGTTAGATACAAAATCAAAAAGCAAAAGCATCCGAAAAGAGTATGTATGTTGGTGCACAGAAATACAACTTATAAATGATTCAAATGTTCTTATGAGGTTTGACTATCAATTAAGATGCCATTATAGACAGTAATACACATTTCCTCACTAATATGTGGTTCATCCGTGCGTGAAAAGAATCCAAGACATTAATCAAGCCCAAAGGCATTACCAAAAACTCGAAGTTTCTATTATGAGTTTTGAATGCGATCTTGTAAACATCCTCCTTATAGACCTGGACTTGATGACTTTTTATTCAACTTCATGTAATCAACATAAAGCCTCCACGACCCATTGTTTTCTTCCTATTAGTACCACCTGGGATGTTACATATGGATCATTAAGTTCTTAATTTAGTAGTTAAATGATATATATATATATATATATATATATATATATATATATATATATATATATATATATATATATATATATATATATATATATATATATACACACACTTCTTCGAATAGGCTGTGTGTGGCATGAATCTAAAGACATGTAGAGTTGGAATTTGACGACATCACACAAAGGTGAGTAAATACCGAATACCAAATACGTGTCCCTATCACTGTTTTTGACAAATAAATGGTATGAACATACACCTAGTACTCTTGTTTGTATGTGGATAACATAAGTGTTTACCAAACCTAATTCGCTTAAACTTAGAATGGGGGTTGACCTGAGTGTGTGTCTGGGCTTTTATAGGGATTTAATCCCATTTTGTCCGTGTCACTTATTTGTCTTAGTGAGTGACTATTAAGTTAGTATGCATATGGATGGACCTTGAAAACCCATTCCCTGGTTTCATGTTGATTTTGGATGGGCACCTGATTCCTAAAGTCGATCTTAGTGATCCAACCATTTGATCTTAGTGAGCCTTGTTGATCTTTGTGGTAATTGTTGATCCTAGCTATCGATAAAGAGGAAACAAAAATAGAGTTTGATCCAATCTTGTAGTAATTTCATGCGATTTATACAAAAAGACCGAAATAAAAGAATGCATACCACCGTTTATAACCCAAGGGCATGTTTACACATGAACATACAACTGGAAAGTTTTTAATGGACTTGAATGCTTACAACTTTATTCGTCTGCTAATTATACATCATTCTGAAATGCTTACTTCTTAAAACCATATGATATTCTGGTATTAAAGTCTACACTGGCGATGATCAAGTTCTGTTTTGACATGGTTCCTTGTAATATGAGCAAGAGTGGGACACCCAGACAGAGCCATGGTCAACTCAAGTTCATCCTTCAACATCTCAATCACTCTTCTTACTCCATACTCCCCCTTTGCTGCTAACCCATAAATAACTGGACGCCCAATCTGCAAATAATTCCATATTAACATCATCATTTAATTATTTCCCTCCGATTTATAATTCAAAATTACCATAACAGCCTGTGCACCAAGAGCTAAAGCCTTGAATACATCTGTTCCTCTCCTTATTCCTCCATCAAAGATCACTGGTATACGTCCTTTAACTGCAACAACCACCTATGAAAAAGGAAAAACCGGTCATTTTCTTTTGTAAATTGCTAATGTTTGCAATGCATTTGGATATGAACAACCAATTAAATCATTAATCACCTCTTCCAGAGCATTAATGGTGGCTGGAACATAATCTAGCTGGCGAGCACCATGATTCGAGACTATGATTCCTTCAACTCCTACTTCCATAGCTTTAATGGCTGCCAAGATCCAACATTCAGAAACCTAAAGACTATATCTCCAGTCTACACATAAACATAAATATAAACATAACAAACTCATCATGGCCTAAATTACCATCTTCACGGGTCAATACACCCTTTATCAAAATCGGCAACTTTGTAATCGACTTTAACCAAGCAATGTCCTGCAAAAAAAAAAAACATATTATCTTACAAACTCATGGCTCTTTATGCTTCCATGTTCATTATATCAATAAGAGATTGACTGTTTGGGTTGTTTTAATCAAACAAAACCTTCCAAGATAAAGAAGGGTCGAAGCTCCTGTTTACAAAAGCTTCAACATTTGAACCTTCATCCTGCAAAACATATAAAGATAAGGTATATATATATATATATATATATATATATATATATATATATATATATATATATATATATATATATATATATATATGTACCCAAAAAAGAAGAATAAAAAGATTAGTGATTTCACTTACGTCTTCTACTTTGGTTGACACAAGACCTTCAAAATTCTTCAAATGGGGTGCAATCATTCTACACAACAAGATCAATTTTTTACATAGAAATAAAAAGAAGAAAAAGAAAATAGTAATTTGGGATGAATTTTACTTGTTTTTTATATCTGCTTCCCTACGACCAAGTTTAGGCGTATCAGCAGTTAGAAGAATAGCCTTGAATCCATTTGCTTCCGCTCTTTTCACCATCAAAGCAGATATCTCACGTTTCTTGTAAACCTAAAAACGGATTGGAAACATTTTCAGAAGGAAAAATGAACTTCATGTGGTGTGCGACGCAACAATGAAGTGATGAAGATCAGATACATACATACAACTGAAAGAATCGAACAGCATTGCAACTAGAAGCAACCTCCTCAATTGTGCACGTAGACATGAAAGATAACCCCTAAAAAACGAAATTAGTATAAAAGAAGAAATAAAAAAAAAAGTAATTAAAGCAATTAACTAAGATCCTGCTGCTAGTGTAGTGATTAAATACCATTATCACATTACATGATCCTGCTGCTCTTGCTGTCAAGACCTCTCCTGAAAAATACATATTATAAGATAAAACGATAATCTTGAATATTATATATAGAATTAGATACCTTCAGGATGTGCTAACTTATGCAAAGCTGTTGGAGCAATCATAATGGGTGCTGAAGTTTTGTAACCTAATATGGTGGTTGACATATCTATCTTGCTCACATCCACAAGAATTTTTGGCCGAAAACTGATGATCAATCAAGTGTTGTGAAAAAACAAAAACAGATGATGATGATGATGATGATGATGATGAAAAGAAGATTAACATATAAACTATTACGTGATCCGTTTAAATGCTTCAGTGTTTTCTCCGAGTGTGTGTTGGTCCTCGGATCCCCCACTGAAGTAGTCGTAATACATCTTTGGAAGCGCTTGTCTTGCCAGTTGTTGATATTCATTCAGATTCACTGGTTCCTCCTCACCCATGGTCATGTGTAACTGTCAAGAATTAGGGTTAACTAAGTTTGTTTATTGAGGGCTTAACATGTTCATAAAGCATTAATTAGCATTGATAATGGTTTAGAGAAAGCATGATAAAAGACAGTGAATCGAAGCTGATGAGGAAGCTTTGGATTGTTAACTGGGATATGCACCCATGGTGCAATAAGTAACAAACAGCTTTGATGTCGAAAACCCTAAAAACGAAGATCCACTAACAGTTGAAATCATACTACCTTTTAATAACTGGTATTGAATGGCCGACGAGGAGGAGTGAAGAAAACGTTTGTGGCTCGATTTAAATCGTTTTAATGATTGCACAGGATAACATTATCGTTTTGTAATAAACGTGGGCAATTCGGACATTTTCATCGTCAACACTTGACTTACATGACATGTGTGTAGTGAACATATACTACATTAAGAAGATGTTAGAAATCTATTGGAAGCAAAGCTAATCGGTGGGATAGTTTTTGAAAATACCTTATTATTATTAGTTCTTTACCTTTTTAAAAAGTTAGTAAATTAAAAAGTATTTGTATTTATAAAACGCTTTTTAAAACTATTTTTTAGATGTGAAAAAAATAATGTTTTCAAAAAAGCTGAAAAAATCCTAATTTTTTTTTAGCTTTTTAGCCATTTTGCTTTTAAAAAACAGTTTTTTTTTTTTAATTTTTTTTTTATCTAAACACTTTTTAAAATCTGTTTTTCTTAAAAGCTATAAGCTAATAAGCACTTTTCTTAAATATCACTTTTGTGATCAAAAAAGTTAACCCAAACACACCCTAAAATAGCAGCGAGCTTGGTTGGACCATATACTCAAAAGAGACAATCTTAACCAGCATGCTATGAAGAGAGAGCATTGGAAGTCCGACGGTTACGAACCGAAGAAAAGAGCGGTTCAACTAACATCAGTTTTATGTTTATTTCTGAACCGAAATGAACCGACGGGTTTTTACAAAAATCCGGTTTAACATGTTAAATTAAATAAAATCACATGAAATGAATTATTTTCATAACAATTTTTTTCCACATCTATTTAGATTTCCTATAAATAAAAACACATGGTAAATGTTATAAAGTTTTTTAATGTGTTTGTATTCATCTAAAACTATATTTTGTTTCCGTATTATACTTTATTTTATTTTTAATGAACGTGGATTGATGTAAAATTTATAATTATATTTTTTAATGTATTTGGATTGATCTTAAACTTATATATATATATATATATATATATATATATATATATATATATATATATATGTATTTTTAATATTTAAACTTGTACATATCTATCTGTGTGTAGGAAAAAATAGGAAAAAAATATGAAAATTATAGAACCCAGTTGAACCGGAAACCGGTCACCATACTGGTTCAACTAAAAAACCGGTTTTTAAAACATTGGAAAATAAGGGATGGACAGAAAATCGGCAAAGGAAAGCAGGCCATAACTGGACGAAGGTGATAACCTCCTTCTATGCTTCAAATATTCCGAGAGGCACCAACATATTCACCATTAAAAATATCTTCAAATCATTTGGAAGGATTGAAGATATCTATCTCACCGGAAGAAAAGACAAAGGATGCATGTACTTTAGCTTTGTGAAGTATAATGATGTTCTAGATGTAACCGATTTGGAAGGAAAACTACAAGGTCTCATGTAGCACCTGGTTCCTGGTATGTATTTTAATCTAAGTATTTTTGCATTTTTAGTTGGAACTCAGCGAGTTGTAGACTCGACTCGCCGAGTAGAGACAAGATATTGAGCACGTTTAAGTTGGCGACTCGGTGAGTCCATATCCTGGACTGGGCGAGTCCGCCAGTCTGGAAGAAACCCTAGATCCACGAGTTTTGCACCCTATTTAAACCATGTTATGAGCCCCAAACTCGCTTCCTTCACCCTCAGAGCATCATTTAGCAAACCCTAACCATTCCTTGAGCATTTTGAGCATTTCTTGTGTGAATCTTGAAGTTTTGAAGAGAAGAAGGAAGCTAGATCCAAAGGAGTAGAAGGAGATCGAAGATCTTGCACCCACTATAAAGTTTATTGACGTACTAATCAGATTCCTTCTGTTTCTATGATTGATTCTCCATTATAAATCACATTTAGGCCATTTTATCCATTTCTTAGCTTGATTATAGTAGAGAGATCGCATTGGGTTGAATAGCCTTCGGATCTAGCCATGTTTCAGTTCCAAAAACTTAGATCTAACACCTTTATGGAGCCATTTTGCATGAAAGCCCTAGATCTACTCTTTTAAGTGCCTTTTGAGCCTTTAAATTCCTTTTCATGCATATGTACACGTAAAGTTGGAAACTTTACATGGTAACCAAGCCTTAAGAGCCCATATCTATAAGTTGTATGCATTGGTTTTGAGCATAATCAACTGTTTAGAAGTTGCATGCAACCGACTCGGCGAGTCGTTCTTCAGACTCGGCGAGTCGAGTTGCGAGTTCTCGAGTTTTCCCCTTTCATGTTTTATGTCGAGTGGAACCAGTGAGTTATAGGTGGACTTAATGAGTCGGAGATCAGACTCATTCATGGAGGGACTCGGCGAGTCAATGCCCTGACTCGGTGAGTCCAAGGTTTTCTTCATATCTCAAGAACAGACTCGGCGAGTTGTTCATACAACTCGGCGAGTCACAATCGGAGTGTTCATATGTTGAAGGAGAACTCAACGAGTTGTTCATACAACTCGGCGAGTCGGATGCAGATTGACTAAGTGTTGGTATCGAAGAGGAACTCGTCGAGTCTACGCCAAACTCGATGAGTAGTAGCGAGCAGAAACGAGAAATGAGAGTAGGGACTCAACGAGTTGGCAGCCCAACTCGGCGAGTCAGGTCAACTGTATGTTGACTTCGACCAAGAGGTTGACTTTGACCAGGGGTAAAATAGTTATTTTATCCTCAGTATAGTTATCAGTATTTGATTGAGTGTACTTATGGAAATTGTAGCCGGGGAGATACCGAAGCAGCAGCAGATAGATTCCAGAGCAGTTCATTCAGCAGCCAGACTACGAGGTGAGTTTTTCTTCCAGTAGGAACGGGTCTACGGCCACAATGTTAACCCGTTTAGTTAGCAGTAGTTCCGAACCTCGGTCCAATGCAGTAGTTAGATTGCTTGATGTCTTTGTGATTCAAGCATGTTTTGTGTTATGTGTTCCGGACTTCGGTCCGATGCAGTATGCAGTATATGTGCTTATGCTAGTTGATATGTTTATGCTATGCTATGTTATGCTCAGTTAGTTTCCGGACTTCGGTCCGATACAGGGGACAAGGTCCCAGTTAGTTCTAGATTTCGGTCCGATGCAGTTAGTTCCGGACTTCGGTCCGATGCAGGGGACAAGGTCCCAGTCAGTTCCGAACTTTGGTCTGATGCAGTTTCCGGACTTCGGTCCGATGCAAAGGGCAAGGCCCTGGTTAGTTCCAGACTTCGGTCCGATGCAGTTTTCAGACTTCGATCCGATACAGTGGGCAAGGCCCAGTATGTGTTTATATGTTATTGTATGGTATGTGGTAGTTTGGGGGAGCTCACTAAGCTTCGTGCTTACAGTTTCAGTTTTGGTTTCAGGTACTTCCGCAAGTAAATGGAAGAGCTCGGGATGATGGCATCGCACACACCACAACTTTAGTTTTTGTCCTGGGAGTTGATTTAGCTTTTCATAGATATGATTGATACAGTCTTGATATAGTTTTCTCGTGATACTTTGTTATGGTTTTGAGATATTGACGTATGGGTTTTTATTTTATGGTATTGATATGATGGTTTTAGTAATTATTAAACAAAAAATTTTGGGTCGTAGTTTGGGATGTTACAAGTTGGTATTAGAGCTATGGTTTGAGGGATTTAGATACACTTTCGGGTGTGTCTGAACTCAAACTAAGGAAACAATAAAAGATTTTCAAAGGAAAAATATTTTCGAAAAGGATTTTTGAAAAAGAACTTAGAAAGAAAAAGGGTTTTGATAAAGAGAAAAAGGTGTGGTGCGTGCGATCAGCCGAGCTCAAGTAAGTACTTCCAAATTACCCATACAAGTTTATATTATCCGTTTCAGATCAGTTCAGTTTCAGTTTCAGTAGAACAACATGCTAGTATAGGACTAACGATCTAGGAGGATGTCTTATGTGCCTGCTTTATGTGTTTCAGCTTGATGAGAATTGCATGCTAGTAGTGAGTAGACAGTAGTAGGATAGCCAGTGTAGGTTATGCCTGATAGTATGAGCTTAGCATTGTATGTTAGTACAGTTTCTTGTTATGAGAATAGTTTGCATGAATATGTTTCCTTTATCTGAATGTTGCTTGCTTTGTGCTTTGTGGGACTCTGAGTGATGGGAGTTAGCCATTAGGTGAATACATCACGTCACATTGCATGTGATCAGGGTTGAATAATCTCAGGGTGCTAGAGTTAGCCCTACTGTGCAACTTTTGTTTGAGTCTAACCGTTGTAGGGACGAGTCTTTTACTCGAAGGATTATTCGAGCCTTGTCACATGTGATGGTATTCAGGTGATGACTAATTGGCATTACAAGGAGGCCTTCAACGGCTAAGGACAGGTTTTGGTTGATTCATAGATTTCCCTAGGGCAAGCCTAGGATGAGAGTAGCAGAGATCAGCAGCAGTGGTAGTGGCTTGGTGGAGCCGAGGCGGTCCTTGAGGAAGGTACAGATAGATGTGGAAGGTAGTAGGGGCCCATACTATTGGAAGCAGAGGATCCGTACTTGAATCAAGGAAGGCTGAGACAAGACCAGAAAGCCTGTAGTGGTAGTGATCCCTCGAAATATATCATTGTTTCTGACGTTTATCGTAATGTGTTTCAGAATGGTGGTTTTGCAACCTAGGCCAGCAGCTGGCAGTTCAGGTGCCGGAGAGGGATTAGGATCAGGCTCGGGAGCCGAGCATCTAGATGAGCAGACTAGAGAGTTTTTCACTTCAGAGGTGACCCGTATCATTCTTGAGCAGACTCTAGTGATCTTTGGCTCGATCAAGGAGGGTATGTCCTAACAAATCCATTCGTCTAATGACCCTCCACCATGCAAGGGAGCAGTGAGTGAGAGTGGACACCTAATGATGGTCATTTAATAGTTTGTTTCCTTATCCCCCCCCCCCCCCTCTCCTTTATAGTACGGCTTCGTAATGAGGCATACTAGCGATTTGACTGACTTGTCTTATACATATAATATATTAAGCTTTTAATCATATATATACATACATATATATATATATATATATATATATATATATATATAGTATAAGGTGTATTTTAAAACTTTTCAAAATACTAGGGTTTCAAATTAATTTTCGAATTAAACTTTTAATAATTAATTAATTTTTATACAATTAATGATTTACCAATTATTCTTTAATTAAATCATTAAGGATTTAAATAATTATCTTAAATTAAACAATTAATTAAATAATTCAAATTTAAATCATTAGGGATTAAATAATTATCTTCAATTG